AGCGTAAGGTTTAGGGTTATGGTTAGGATTAGGGAACAGGTACGGTTCAGTGTACAGTTTAGGGTAAACAAGGGATGTGGGCTAGGGTACGTGTTAGGGTATGGGGTAGTATTAGTATATTGGTTAGGATTAAGATACAGGTTAGGGTAAGGACTAGGGTTAGCGTTAGGGTACGGGTTAGTCTATGGGTTAGAATTAGGGTACGGGTTAGTGTATGGGTTAGGGTAAAGGTTAGGTTTAGGGTACAGGTTAGGGTACGACAATGTGTTAGGTTTAGGGTACTGTTAGACTACGGGTTACTGTTAGTGTATGAATTTGTATTAGGGTTAGGGTTAGGGGTATGAGAACGGGTTAGGGTATGTGTTAGTGTATGGGTTAGGAGTATGTTACATGTTAGGTTAAGGGTTGGGATTAGGGTTAGGGAACTGGTATGGTGTAGGGTACAGTTTAGGGTACGCCAGTGGGTTAGGATTAGGGTACGGGTTAGGGCAAGGGTTAGGGTAAAAGTTAGGGTTAAGGTAAGGGTTAGAGTTAGGGTTATGGTTAGGGAATGGGTACGGTTTAAGGTACAGATTAGGGTATGGGTTAGTGTACTGGTTACGACTAGGATACGAGTTAGGGTAAGGGTTAGGGTTAGTGTTAGGGAATGGGTATCATTTAGGGTACAGGTCAGGGTACAACAACAGGTTAGGGTTAGGTTACGTGTTAGGGTACGGGTTATTTTTATTTTAAGGGTTGGGATTAGGGTATGGTTTAGGGTACGTGTTAGGGTATGGGTTATTGTTAGTGTACGGGTTAGGATTAGGGTACAGTTTGGGTAAGGGTAAGGGTTATGGTTAAGATTAGGGAATGGGCAGAGTTTAGGATACAGGTTAGTGTACGACATGGGTTAGGGTTAGGGTATGTGTTAGAGTACGGGTTAGTTTTGGTGTACAGATTAGGATTAGTGCACGGGCAAGGGTTAGGAATCGGGTACGGTTTAGGTACGGGTTAGGCTTAGGGTACTTATTAGGGTACAGATTAGTGTTAGTGTATGGGTTAGGAGTAGGTTATGGTTCGGGTAAGGGTAAGGGTTATAGTTAGGGTACGGGTTAGTGCTAGTGCACAGGTTAGTATTAGGTTACGGGTTAGAGTAAGGGTTAGGGAACAGGTGAGCTTTAGGGACAGGTTAGTGTATGACAACAACTTAGGGTTAGGGTACGGGTTAGTGTTAGTGTACAGGTGAGTATTAGGTTACAGGTTAGGGATCAGGCTTGGTTTAGGGTACTGTTAGGGTACATGTTAGTGTTAGCATATGAATTAGTATTAGGGTACAGGTTGCTGTAAGGATTAGGGTAACGGTTATGGTTAGGGTTACGTTATGGGTTAGGGTAAGGGTTAGGATGAGGCTGAGGGAATGGGTATGGTGTAGGGTACAGTTTAGGGTATGACAACGGGTTAGGGTTACGTTGCGTTTTAGGTTACGGGTTAGTGTTAGTGTATGGGTGAGGATTAGGGGACGGGTTTAGGGTACAGGTCAGGGTATGACAATGGTTTAGGGTTAGGGTACATGTTAGGGTAGGGGTTATTGTACGGATTAGTGTATGGGTTCGGCTAAGTCTTAGGGAATGGGTAGGGTTTACGGTACAGGTTAGGGAATGACAATGGATTAGGGTACATGTTAGGGAACAGCTTAGTGTTCGTGTATGGGTTAGGATTAGAAGTTGTTTAGGGTTAGGGTATGGGTTAGTGTATGGGTTAGGGTAAGGGTACGGTTTAGGGTACAGGTTAGTGTATGACAACAGGTTAGGGTACAGGTTAGGATGAGAGTAGGGGTTAGTGTAAGGTTTGGGCGGGGGGGTGGCCCTTTGCTGAACATGCAAAGGACACATTGAAATAACAGTTTGGGCCTCATGTTCTGTTAAAGGTGTTTGACCAGAGTGCACTTTCAACTGAAGCTAAAGAAGAAATGTACAAACTGTATCCTAATGCCTGGAGGGCTCACCTGAAAACAGGAGGCAATTTCCCTTACCTGTGCAGAAGTGCAGAGGTGAATCTCTGTGTACAGGTAGGTCCTAGGTTGGATCCCAGAGCACTTTGCACACAGAATCTGGTTTGAAACATAAAGGTTTCTTTTATTTTTTGGTCGTCAAGTAAGAGAACTACAGAATTCTCTGTAGGAATGAAGCATTGACTTGATATATTGGTCCACATTAGTAACGTACAGGAGAATTCAAGCATATTAGAGTCACCTGAGGGGCTCTATGCCCACTATCCCTTTTCTAAGAACCACAGGCCTGAACTCACACACTGAAGCAGCCGTTTGGTACAATGGGACGTTGGCTCCTGGACACAATGAATTCAGCCAGAGCGGGACACCAGACTTAAATGGAGTCAATCTGAATCCCACGAAGGGACTTCTTGGTCTAATTTTAATGCATTCAAACACACGCACACAAACTCTACTTCTTCTAATACCTGCCTAAATGGATATTAGAATAGTGGTGAGAAATGTTTGCTTTGCAATTTGGCAAGTAGTATCAAGAGCCTGAAAAGACCAGTACGGGTTAGTGTTGTTAGTGTACGTGTTAGGATTAATGGACGGGTTAGGGTAAGCCTTTGGGTAAGTGTGTGGGCTATGGTTAGGGTGAGGGTGAGGGTGAGGGTTAGGGAACGGGGATGCTTTAGGGTCCAGGTTAGGGTACGACAACGGTGTAGGGTAAGCGTACATGTTAGGGGACGGCTCAGGGTAAGGCTTCGGGTAAGGGTTCACGTTGTTAGGGTACGGGGACGGTTTAGGGTACGACAAGTGTTTCGTTTTAGCGTACGTGTTAGGGGACGGGTCAGGGTAAGTCTTTGGATAAGTGTTAGCGTTAGGGTTAGGGAACGGGGATGCTTTAGGGTCCAGGTTAGGTACGACAATGGTGTAGGCTGAGCGTACGTGTTAGGGGACAGGTTAGTGTTAGTGTACTGCTTAGGATTAGGGGACGGCTTAGGGTAAGGCTTTGGGTAAAGTTTAGGGTTAGTGTTAGGGAACTGGGATGGTTTAGGGGACGGGTTAGGGTAAGGCTTCGAGTGAGTGTTAGGGTTAGGTTTAGGGTTAGGGAACGGGGATGGTTTAGGGTACAGGTAGTGTATGACAACTGTTTAGTGTTGGCGTACGTGTTAGAATATGGGTTAGTGTTAGTGTACCGGTTAGAATTAGGGAATGGTTTAGGGTAAGGCTTTGGGTAATGGTTAGGGTTAGCATCACAGTTAGTGTTAGGTTTAGGGAATGGGGATGGTTTAGGTTACAGATTAGGGTACGACAACGGTTTAGGGTTAGCGTACGTGTAAGGGTACGGGTTAGTGTTAGTGTACAGGTTAGAATTAGGGGATGGGTTAGGGTAAGGCTTCGGGTAAGGGTTAGGGTTAGGGTCAGGGTTAGTGAACGGGGACAGTTTAGCGTAGAGGTTAGGGTACGACAATGGTTGAGGGTTAGCGTATGTGTTAGTGTATGGTTTATTGGTAATGTAGAGGTTAGGATTAGGGGACGTGTTAGGGTAAGGCTTCGGGTAAGGCTTAGTGTTAGGGTTAGGTTTAGGGTTAGGCTTAGGGAACGGGGGCGGTTTAGGGTACAGTTTAGTGTACAACAATGCTTTAGGGTTAGCGTACGTGTTAGGATACGGGTTAGTGTTAGTGTTAGGTTTATTGGACAGGTTAGGATAAGGCTTCGGGTAAGTCTTAGGGATAGGGTTAGGGTTAGGGTAAGAGAACCGGGATGGTTTAGGGTACAGGATAGTGTGTGACAACCATTTAGTGTTAGCATACGTGTTAGGGTATGGGTTAGTGTTATTGTATGGGTTAGGATTAGGGGAAGTGTTAGGGTAAGGCTTCAGGTAAGGGTTAGGGTTATGGTTAGGTTTAGGGTTAGGCTTAGGGAATAGGGACGTTTTAGGGTACAGGTTAGGGTACGACAAAAGTTTAGGGTTAGCATATGTGTTACGGTACAGTTTATTGTTAGTGTACGGGTTAGGATTAGGGGACAGTTGAGGGTACAGGTTAGGGTATGACAACCGTTTAGGGTTAGCATACGTGTTAGGTTATGGGTTAGTGTTAGTGTACGGGTTAGGTTTAGGGGACGGTTTAGTGTAAGGCTTTGGTAAGGGTTAGTGTTAGGGTTTGGGTTAGGGTTAGGGTTAGGGAATGGTGATGGTTTAGGGTACAGGTTAGGGTACTACAATTGTTTAGGCTTAGCGTACGTGTTAGGGTATGATTTGGTGTTAGTGTACGGTTTAGGATTAGGGTATGGGTTAGGGTAAGGCTTCGGGCAAGGGTTAGGGTTAGGGAGAGGGTTAGGTTTAGGGAATGGGGACGGTTTAGGGTACAGGTTAGTGTACGACAACGTTTTAGGGTTAGTGTACGTGTTAGGGTACGGGTTAGTGTTAATGTATGGGTTAGGATTAGGGGAAGGTTAGTGTAAGGCTTCAGGTACGGGTTAAGGTTACAGTTAGTGTTAGGGAATGGGGACGGTTTAGGGTACAGTTTAGCACACGACAACAGTTTAGAGTTAGCGTACGTGTTAGGGTATGGGTTAGTGTTAGTGTACATGTTAGGATTAGGGGACGGGTTAGGGTAAGGCTTCGGGTAAGACTTAGGATTAGGGTTAGGGTTAGGTTTAGATTTAGGGAATGGGGACGGTTTAGTGTACACGTTAGTGTGTGACAATGGTTTATGATTAGCGTACGTGTTAGGGTAAGGTTTCATGTTAGTGTACAGGTTAGGATTAGGGAACAGGTTAGGGTAAGGCTTTGGGTAATTGTTAGGGTTAGGGTTAGGGTTAGGGAACGGGGACAGTTTAGAGTACAGGTTAGGGTACGAAAACAGTTGAGGGTTAGTGTACGTGTTAGGGTATGGGTTAGTGGTACTGTACTAGTTAGGATTAGGGGACGAGTTAGGGTAATGCTTCAGGAAAGACTTAGGTTTAGGGTTAGGGCTAGGGAATGGGGATGGTTTAGGGTACAGTTTAGTGTACAACAATGGTTAGGGTTAGCGTACATGTTAGGGTATGGGTTAGTGTTACTGTATGTGTTAGGTTTAGGGGACAGGTTAGGGTAAGGCTTTGGGTAAGTGTTAGGGATAGGGTAAGGGTTAGGGCTAGGGTAAGAGAACTGTGACGGTTTAGGGTACAGGTTAGTGTATGACAATGGTTTAGGGGTAGCGTATGTGTTAGGGTAGGGGTTATTGTTAGTGTACGGGTTAGGATTAGGGGACGGGTTAGGGTAAGGCTTCGGGTAAGTGTTAGCATTAGGTTTATGGTTAGGGTTAGGAGACGGGGATGGTTTAGGGTACAGGATAGTGTACGACAACGTTTTAGGATGAACATACGTGTTAGGATATGGGTTAGTGTTAGCGTACGGGTTAGGATTAAGGGACGGGTTAGGGTAAAGGTTCGGATAAGGGTTAGGGTTAGGGTTAGGGTTAGGGGACGGTTTAGGTTACAGGTTAGTGTACGACAACGGTTTAGGGTGAGCGTACGTGTTAGGGAATGGGTTAGTGTTAGTGTACGGGTTAGGATTAGGGCACGGGTTAGGGTAAGGCTTCGGGTAAGGGTTAGGGTTAGGGGATGCGGATGGTTTAGTGTACAGTTTAAGGTACAACAACGGTTTACTGTGAGCGTACGTGTTATGCTATGGGTTAGTGTTAGCATACGGGTTAGGATTGGGGGACGGTTTAGTGTAACGCTTCGGGTAAGGGTTAGGGATAGGGTTAGGGTTAGGGTTAGGGGACGTGTACGGTTTATGGTACAGGTTAGGGTATGACAATGGTTTAGGGTGAGAGTATGTGTTAGAGTATGGGTTAGTGTTAGCGTACGGATTAGGATTAGGGAACGGGTTAGGGTAAGGCTTCATGTAATGTTTAGGGATAGGGTTAGGGTTAGGGGACAGGGACGTTTTAGGGTACAGGTTAGTGTACAACAACCGTTTAGGGTGAGTGTACGTGTTAGGGTACGGGTTAGTGTTAGCGTATGAGTTAGGATTAGGGGATGGGTTAGGGTAAGGCTTCTGGTAATGGTTAGGGTTAGGATTAGGGTTAGCGTTAGGGTTATGGGATGGGGACCGTTTAGGGTACAGGTTAGTGTACGACAGCAGTTTTGGGTGAGCGTACGTGTTAGGGTACAGGTTAGTGTTAGCGTACAGGTTAGGATTAGGGGATGGGTTAGTGTAAGGCTTCGGGTAAGGGTTAAGTTTAGGGTTAGGGTTAGGTGATGGGGACGGTTTAGGTTACAGGTTAGGTTACAGCAACGGTTTAGGGTGAGTGCACGTGTTAGGGTACGGGTTAGTGTTAGTGTACAGGTTAGGATTAGGGGACGGGCTACACTAAGGCTTTGGGTAAGGGTTAGGGAAAGGGTTAGGGTTAGGGGATGGGGATGGTTTAGGGTAGAGGTTAGGGTACGACAACGCTTTAGGGTGAGCGTACATGTTAGGGTATGGGTTAGCATTAGCGTACGGGTAGGATTAGGGGACGGTTGAGGGTAAGGCTTCGGGTAAGGGTTAGGGTTAGGGTTAGGGAATGGGGATGGTTTAGGGTACAGGTTAGGGTATGACAACTGTTTAGGGTTAGCGTACATGTTAGGGTATGATTTGGTGTTAGTGTACAGTTTAGGATTAGGGTATGGGTTAGGGTAAGGCTTCGGGTAAGGTTTAGGGTTAGGGTTAGGGCACAGCAAATGTTTAAGGTACAGGCTGGGGTATGGCAATGGTTTAGGGGTAACGTACATGTTAGGGTAAGGGTTAGTGTTAGTGTACAGTTTAGGATTATGGGACGTGTTAGAGTAAGGCTTCGGGTAAGGTTTAGGGTTGGGGTTAGGATTAGGGTTAGGGATACAGAACGGGTATGGTTTAGGGTTCAGTTTAGTGTATGACAAATTTTTAGTGTTAGCGTATGTGTTAGGGTACAGGATAGTGTTAGGGTTAGGATTAGGGGACGTGTTAGGGTAAGGCTTCGGGGAAGGGTTACAGTTAGGGTTAGGGTTACGGTTAGGGTTAGGGAACAGGGAAGGTTTAGGGTACAGGTTAGTGTATGACAACGTTTTAGGGTTAGCGTATGTGTTAGTGTACGGGTTAGTGTTAGTGTACGGGTTATGATTAGGGGACGAGTTAATTTAAGGCTTTGGGTAAGAGTTAGGGTTAGGGTTAGTGTTAGGGTTATGGCACAGGGACTGTTCAGGGAACAGGTTAGTGTATGACAATGGTTTAGGGTTAGCGTACATTTTAGGGTATGGGTTAGGGTTAGTGTATGGGTTAGGATTAGGGGACAGGTTACGGTAAGGCTTTGGGTAACGGTTAGGGTTAGGGTTAGGGTTAGTGTTAGGGAACGGGGACAGTTTAGGGTACAGTTTAGCGTATGGCAACGGTTTAGGGTTAGCTTATGTGTTAGGGTATGGGTTAGTGTTAGTGTACGGGTTAGGACTGG